CGGGAACCGCTATCACAAGATTTTCGCGGATTCCGCTTCGCCACAATTTCTTCGATATCTGGGTGGGTGATCTCTCTGGGCAGGATACTATCCTAGGCATGGACTTCATGGTCCCAGCCGGGATCCGCCTGGATCTCACTCATGGATCCATCAGCTTGCCCGACGAAGTCCGGTTCCAGCTTAGCGGGAGGCGGCAGGTTTGCAGCGACAAGGCCAGGATCGTGAACCTTGGGCAGTACCTGAGGATCCAGCCAGGAGCATCAGCGGAGCTTCCCATACGCCTGAGGACTTCGGATCACGAGAAATTCTGGGTCACCCGTGGAGATCATTGGATCCCCACGATAGTCCATGGCCCGGGGAGGATCAGATACATGAGGATCACGAACATCGGTGACAAGGTGCTGATCCTGCATCAGGACTTGCGGATCGGAATCTGGCTGGCCGGCGATCATGTCCCGCGACTGCCAGGTTTCATCTCAGTGGGATCCCGGCGCTATATGGAGTGGGATCCAGGCGCTACATGGAGTGGCAAAATCAGGCCCTCGAAGCGACCGTGGATCCCCGATCTGCGGACTCGGATCCGGATGCGGAAGATCCACCAAGGCCTGCAGTGGAACGCCCCGAGTATGAGATTCCGCGTGCAACGACCAAGGCCGACGGCGATCAAGTGCTTGAAGGGCGGATCAAGTGGAGATCAAGAGGTATCTGACCACCTTCCTTTGGATAATTCGCCGTCGGACAATCCGCCGCTGGATTGTCGACCATTGGATGAGGCGTCTGTCGCAAGTGATGGGTCGGATCTGTCGTCTATCGCAGATGACAACTCTATGTCACATGTTGTAACGGTCGTGAGGGCGCTGGACGATCAGGATCCAGGTGTATCAGGTATTACCGCAGCGGATCTGCCCCCGGTCGAAGATCCAGCCGTGGAAACGGTATTGGCTGAGGAAACCCCCAGTGGTGTGACTGGCGCGGATCAAGATCCGCCAGTTCAGGAAGTCCAGGATCCGAAGCCGGCGATGTTGAAGGGTGATGGGTCGCACCCATCATCATTGATGGGTGTAGAATCTGGGACGAGCCATAAGTTGGGTGACCCGTTGGACCAGAAGGACACCATGTCTATGTCACAGAAAAGGGACGCGGATCCGGCAGCTGTTTTGGAAGATCAACCGAACATATCGGATCTGGACCTTACTTGGGACTCGGATCAGGATTACGACGAATGTGTGTATTACAACGAAGGCAGCGATCTCTACGCTGAAGATGTCGACGGACAACTAGCGGTACTGGCTGAAGTCCCAGCGACGACGGAAGATGTGAGGATCGAGGACACCCAATTGTGCGGATCCGACAATCAGACGCCCGAAGAGATCGACCGACTCCCCCAGCGGATCTGGAAGTTCAGGCACCTCCTGATCGGCAAAGGAAATGCACCCCCACCAGCGGCCCGAGGTGGTGTGTGTGATATTGATGTGGGAGGAGCTCGGTCGATCGCGCTCAAGTGTCGAAAGCTGCGGCCCCAGTTCCGAAATTGGCAGAGCAGATCAAGGGTCTCCTGTCGGCCAAGATGATCAACCACTCAAGATCTCCATGGGCATCGCCGATCGTCGTGATCATCAAGAAGAATGGTGTGGATATACGATTGTGCATTGATTATCGGTTGGTTAACAGTCTTACACAGCTGATGGTTTACCCGATGCCGCTGATCAACGATCTACTGGAGGATCTCGAGTCTACACTAGGGTATTGCTCACTGGATATGGCGAGCGGATTCTGGGTGGTGAAGATGACGGATCGGGCCCGCCTGATCTCGGCCTTTATTACCCCATTTGGACTCTTCGAGTGGAATCCGATGCCTTTTGGGCTGAAGAAGGCGCCGTAGATCTACCAACGGATGATCGACAATGCCTTGTATGGGTTCACTCGGATCCCGAAAATGGCAGGCGATCTGGAGCATTTGGATGTATTCGAGGCTGGAGAACCCGAGGATCCGGGCAAACCATCGGTGCTAGGACGCA